GAATGGAAGTGTGCTTGACCACAGGAGAAAAGATCTCATTGTAGTCAACTCCCTCTCTTTGTACAAACCCCTTAGCCACTAACGTTGCTTTGAATCTTGTACCACCGAGCTTGGTAGGATCCTCCTTCTTTTTATACAACCACTTGCAACCAATAGCTTTCTTACCTATGGGCAATGGGACAACCTCCCATGTTTGGTTCTTGTGAAGTGATTCCATCTCTTCTTCCATTGCCGCCAACCAACTCTCGCTATTGTTGTTTAAAATAGCTTCCTTGAAAGTGGTAGGCTCATCATCCTCCACCGAGAGTGCATACTCAACCAAATTTGTCTGCCCATAGTGCCTCAAAGGCTCGTCTGATCCCAACTTTAAAACTTGCTTGTAAGTACGGCGTGGCCTAGAGGAAGCCAAGTTATCTGCAAGCTGCTGTTGTTGCTATGTCTGTACATTCTCTTACTGAATCACCTCTTGTTCAAGCCCATCATCACTCTCATCTTGAGTGTCTGTTTGATGCTCCTCTTAAACATGCCTAGAATCAGGTTGACCTCTAGGTTCTATGACAACAACTTGAGACATTGTAGTCTCAACATCATCACCACCGGGCACTGTAACTTTCAACGAAGCTATCATGGAGTTCTCATCAAAAGTAACATCTCTGTTGATTATGAACTTAGAATCCTCTACACACCAAAGGCTTTGCTGAATCGCCTCTTGTTCAAGCCCATCATCACTCTCATCTTGAGTGTATGTTTGATGCTCCTCTTAAACATGCCTAGAATCAGGTTGACCTCTAGGTTCTATGACAACAACTTGAGACATTGTAGTCTCAACATCATCACCACCGGGCACTGTAACTTTCAACGAAGCCATCATGGAGTTCTCATCAAAAGTAACATCTCTGTTGATTATGAACTTAGAATCCTCTACACACCAAAGGCGATAGTCTTTAACACCTGCCGCATACCCCAAGAATATAGCCTTCTTAGCCCTCGCATCGAGCTTTCCCTCGTTGACATGATAGTAGGCTGTGCATCCGAATGTTCTGAGTTTCTCATAATCTGCATGTTCTCCTGTCAATACCCTATAAGGTACATCTCCATCTAACCTTGAATGTGGAGACCGGTTCACTATATAGCAAGCATTTGCAACCGACTCTGCCCACCATTCTCTGCCTAAACGAGCATAGGATCGCATACACATCAATTTCTCTCAAAATGTGCGATTCAGTCTTTTCGCGACCCCATTTTGTTGCGGTGTATTTCTAACTGTCCAGTGTCTCACAATGCCTGCCTTACCACAGAACTCCTTGAAAGCACCATCTGTATATTCAGTACCGTTATCAGATCGCAGTGTCTTCAATTTCTTTCATGTTCTGTTTTCAACCATTGCTTTCCACTTCTTGAAAGTGTCAAATACCTCATTCTTATGCTTCAAAAAATAAATCCAGGCATATCTAGAATAATCATCAACAAATGTAACAAAATACCTGGAACCTCCTTTGAAAGTGACAGAAGCCAGACACCATACATCTGTGTGCACATAGTCAAGAATGCCTCTGCTTCTATGTTTACTTGGCTGGAACTGAACTCGGTGTGCTTTACCGTACACGCAATGCTCGCAAAAATCCATGCAAGGCTTCTTCAAGTTCTTTAGCAAACCTTTCTTGACTAGCAAATCTAGTCCCTTTTCAGACATATGCCCGAGCCTCCTATGCCATAGCCGAGTACACTCACATGGGTCTCCACCACTTCCACCTGTTCCAACTGCTACATCTTCTGTAACTGTAGTACCCTGAAGAGCATATAGATTGCCTTCACGAATACCCTTCATCACAATCAAAGAACCACGAACAACCTTCTTTACTCCATCCCATGTTACAATCTTGCAACCACCGGAGTCTAAGGCACCAACAGAGATTATGTTCTTCCGCAAATCAGGAACATGTCTAACATCCATCAATGTTCTAACCACTCCATCATGCATCTTGATTCTAATTGAACCGAGCCCCACCGTTTTACAAGAATGGTTATTACCCATCAACACAGTTCCACCATCAGTGCTTCTATAGGTAGTAAACCACTTCCTATTTGGACACATATGATAAGAGCATCCAGAGTCAAGAATCCACTTACCGGAGGTTTCTTCATCACAGGAGATGGTGTAGCACTCATCGCTTTCCCCTCCTTCCGAGGCATAGCTTACCTCTTGCTTGACTTGCACCTTTCCATTGTTGTTGTTCTTATTGTTCTTCTTCTAACCCTTTTTGTTAGGACAATTCGCCTTGAAATGTCCAAGCTCGCCGCATTTGAAACAAGACCTTTCGGCAAGAGGTCTAGAACTCGATCTAGATTTTTCTGCCTTGCCCTTTGGTCGCACATTGCTTCTACTCCTTACAAACAATCCTTGAGCTTGCTCCTTGTTACCAATAGTAGACATGCCACTAGTTGCAATCTTTCGAAGATCATCAGCTAGAAGTGACGTTCTAGTGTCTTCCATCACAAGTTTATCACCCACAAGCAACAATGTTTGTACTAGGTTCTCGTAAGACTTTGGCAATGAAAGAAGTAGTAGAAGTGCTTGATCCTCATCATCTACATACACATCAATGTCCTTCAAGTCCGATATGATCCTATCAAACTTGTTGACGTACTCCCGGATTGGTGTACCTTCATCCATCTTGCAAGTATACAATTTGGACTTCAAATAGATCCGATTTGTTAGAGTCTTCGTCATGAAGTTTGCCTCCAACTTTGTCCACACCTCCGCCGCCGTTACCTCACTATCAACCAAGAAAGTAACATCTCTTTCAAGGCAAAGAATGATAGACGCTCGTGCCTCAAAATCTAGCTCTTCCCAATCCTCGTCCGATATATCAACGTGCTTCTTTTCCTTTCCCACCAATACCTTGTGTAACTTTTGAGAAATCAACAAATTTTTCATTTGCATTCTCCAATATGAAAAATCATTCTTCCCGTTGAATTTCTCTATCTCATACTTCCCAATCTTCACCATTCCTCTAGTAGACATGATTTATTCACTTGTTTACCGAAAATAAATCACCAAAGTTCACTTGGGAATTTTCACAAACACCTTGTGCACAACAAAGTTCAAACAACTCACCACAAAATCGAAATTTAACCACTTTGATTTAGGAAGAAGCTCTGATACCAAATTGTTGGGAAAACACCTCCCAAATTTTGCCTAAAGATCAAATAAAGTTGACAATGTGAAAATTTCCAAACCACTTCAAGAACAAGAAAATGAGGAAGAAATTATTTCAATGGAATAAATGAAGAACATGTATTTGGATTACTTGAACAAGCCTCAAGTTAATCTCCAAGAAAGAAAATAACTTTGAATTTATACTCAAGATGAACAACCTTCAATCTTGTAAAATTCTCTCCAAGTTCTCTCAATTTTCTCTCTAAAATTGGGCTCAAGGGTTATAACTTAATGAAGGAGGGGAAAAATGGCAATATAAATACCTATCGGGGCGCCTAGTTTCTACTGAATTCTGGACATGGCGCCTAGGCGCCCAGTTCGGCACAAACTGGGCAGCGCCTAGGCGCTGCTTGCTTCTTCTCAGCTTCTCTTCTTCTCTTCCCAGCTTCTCTTCTTCTCACACATGTTCAAATTATTTTATTAGAAGTATATAGTTTTAAATTAAAATAAAAATAAAAAAAAAAAGAAGAAGAAGAAAAAAGGAATCAGATAGATTGAACAACTATTATCTACTCAATCTTAGAATAGGCGCTGCTTGCTTCTTCTCAGTTTCTCTTCTTCTCTTCTCTTCTCAGCTTCTATTCTTCTCACACATGTTCAAATTATTTTATTAGAAGTATATAGTTTTAAATTTAAAAAAAAAAAGAAGAAGAAGAAAAAAAAAAAGAATCAGATAGATTGAACAACTATTATCTACTCAATCTTAGAATTGTCAAAAGTTGTAGGTTGACCTAAAAAATATCAAAAATAAAAAAATCTGGAGTTGTCAACCATCAACTAGGAGACTTAGCAGAATAGTATAGCAATGTCCAAGTGGGAATCTCTAAATTATTGTTTAGAATAACTTGTTGGATTAAATTTTCTTTCTATGCAGGGCGAAATGGGGAGCATGGAGAATCACGGCCGAGAAGGTGAGCAAAAGCAAGCAGAATTTCGACCCTCCGAGAAAATTCACGAGTACTTCGAGGGGCAAAAACAAACAGAATCTCAACCCCCAGAAAAAAGCCAGTTGTACTTCCAGCCAGAGGGTGAAGCAGGAAGAGGAGAAGAACATATGCAACAAAAGGCAGGTAGTTACCTACAAGACATTGCCGAAACTATAGTCGAAATTGGACAAACAACAAAGAACCTTCTTGTCGGCCATAGCCCAACCCAACCTAGAGGCAACACAGATGAAGCCAAGGAGGTAGAAGAGCCTTATCGAGGGCCTGGTGAGGGCATATAAATCAGCTAGTCTTTGAAAGAGTTTTTTCTGAAGCTAATGTCGACTTGATTTGCAAGTTTTCCAAAAACAAAAAAATCCTGATCTCTTGAGTGGTGGCTCTTTTTTTTTTTTTTTTTTTTTTTTTTTTTTTTTTTTTTTTTTTTGTGATGTTAATGTATATAACTTTCTGTATGGATAAATTTTGATTTTCATCTTAAGAGTCATGTATACTAGCTCTTTGTTAGAGAGTTTGTTGCCTCAGTTATGAACACCATGCACTACACCTTGGCAGCTTCAGCTGTAGTGGATCTAGGAATTCAAGTTAGAGCCGGCAGTCACTTGATCCTTTTCTTTTTCTTTTTTTTTTCCCCTTTTTTTCTTCTTTTTTTTCCGCAACGGAGCAGACGGCTGCATTTAAGCTAGGGCAGCCACTCGATTGATGGCTGCTTTTATGCGGGAAAAAAAATTCTCAAGGGAGCCAGCAAGGGCTTACCAAGTGCTGGTTCCATCATTGAGCATCAGACTCGTTTGGTTCAAGTTATACCCTGCATTTTCATGTTTTTGGGCTGTGCTTGCTGTATACTCTCAAGTACAGCAAGGGTCGCAGTCCCCGGGCTCCAGCCTCAGTGTGGGGCTCCCTCATGTGAGGGGCAGTAAATGTATAGTCTAAGTTGCACTGTACAAGCAGCTCAACATTATGTACCAAGTACTCAAATTAGGGGAAATTAATCAAGTAGTGTGCTTGATAGAATACCAAGTACTCGAATTAGGGAAATTAATCGAGTAGTGTGCTTGTATAGAATCCTACTCGATCAACGTAATTATCAGAAGGGCTGATTGTTAACGACGTGAGCCAGAATTCTTGTGCTCAATACTTGCATTAATACAATAAGAGCCTAGAAAGTGGACGAGAGGGACATAAGTCAAAGCAGAGAGACAAGAACAAGGGCTGTACCTATTAGTGCTGGCTTCGATAACCTAGAAAATGAAGAGACAACACATCCATAACGATTGTGGCCAAGGATTAAGGTCATGAACCTTTGAGAGTATCCAAAACTCGCAGATTCAAAACTAGGTATGGAGCTTTTCTTCTTCAGAGTGCAAAGGGCCGGTCCGGTGTTTCCCAAGTGAGGAAAGGGTTGATTTCCTTTTGCATATACTATCATAAAACCGCAACGGCCAAACCAGCCTATATTTGAAACTAATTAACTAAGACAACTACGATCGTGTTCTTATACACGGTGAATCCTTGATCAAGCAAGGATAAATAATCAACAATTGAACCCACTTTGGATTTTAACTTCTCATCCTTATCTGCAAAGTTCTCATCGTCATCAATCTCTTAGGAATTATTGCTCAGTATGCTTAGATAGATGTTAGATGTCCTGAATGAAATCCAATCTGAGTCCCAAGTTTTTTACTCTACTGATAAACTTCGAATATAAATACATTAATCCTACAAGGATCATCCTTAAATGCTTCCCACAGTAAGCTACAATCTTTTTGCTCAACGTGTGGTAATTGCTGTATCTACTAGAAATGCAATAAGACTATGAGCCTTTAATCTTAAAAATCATACAAGTTAGCTCTTTATTGGAGTCTGTTGCTTCAGGTAAGAACAGGTCAGTGATACTTAGCCAGATTGTGATGTATAAAAACAAAATGAAAATTAAGATATCGTCCATTATATTGATCGTTTCAGTTTAATACTGTGTGATCAATATAAGGTAATCACATTTAACTAAGGACAACAGATATCCATGATCCTGTATTAAATATGGCAGACGATCAATTTTTCCACTGATGGTATGGTTATCTAAGGCAGCCGTTGATTGTATGTTAACGAAGGCAGGCTACAGGTCCTTTAGGGAAAGAGCTACATACTTTAAGCGAGGAGTAGGCATGTAGCCTTCCGCACCGGGAGCTAGAAGATGTCCAGAGTACAGCACAACTTAGACCTTAATGGACGAGAGACTCTTCTTATTCTCGAATCCCCTGCTCTTACTTCCTAATTCCATGGGTAATTTCGTGGATGGGCTGCAGCAGCAGACAGCATAACGTGCTGTTTTACCCTATCAGGAATATCAAGAGTTAGGAACCGAATCTGTCTAGAACTCTTGGCTTGTCGGCTAGATTCCCCTTAGAATTTTATGACCGAATCACAACCAGGAAGGAAGTTTCTTGACGATTTTATTGTCATCTTTTTCATGCCAGATACTTGTAGAGCGAAGCAAAAGAAGTTACATTAAGAGCTGTACAACCCTCGGAACTATCTGTGTGTTCGGATACATAACGATGGAGATAGCGGAAGAGAAGAAGAGCATCCAAAGAAGAGAGATGAGAACAAAGATTGGACCTACTGTTCTGTATCTTAAAAGGCAAGAATCAGGGATAGACCACCAAGCAATCGAAGAGATGCCACATTTATCAATCTTGACCAAGGAATTGGGGTAATGCATCTTGATCCAGAGGGGCATCAAAACCTTCCAGCTTCAAGACAAAACAATATTAATGGTAAAGCTTTCTTATGCAGAGTTCCACAGCCCATGTGTCTTTGCATACATGAAGTATCTCTATATTCGAAACTAAGCCAACTACAATCATAAACTTATAAACAGTAAATCCTATATCAAGAAAAGAAGCAGACGGGCTTAAATAGTTTGTAGGCACATATTGTAATTCATTTGGGAACTCTTGCTTCCTCAAGCCTACTTTGAATTTAAACGTCGTTCTCATTCTCATCTGCTCAGTATTACAAGATCACAGACGTTACAGCTAGCCAAGCTCAGAGACTCCTCGTGAATGGAATCCAAATCTGGTTCAGGGTATTTGATCTAGGTATATTTCAAATATCAAATACATTAATCTTAAAAGGAAATCCTTTAAATGCAACCCGCAGAAAGCTAGAAATTTTGTGCCCTCTATGCTTTAGCTGGCATGTGATGTTATTGCATTAATAAAGCCATGTAGATTGAGTTTGTCAACCAACTGATTGTCCACACTGCTAAATAGAGCAAAGGGCTGGCATGTGATGTTATTGCATTAATAAAGCCATGTAGATTGAGTTTGTAAACCAATTGATTGTCCACACTGCTAAATAGAGCAAAGGGGTGCAGCCTCTCTACCAATAATGCTTCCATTTCCAATCACATACGAAAACTTGGAGTTCAAAGAGAGATTATTTAAGAATGAAAGTAATAATTGAAGAAATGTTAAAAGTCAAAATTTAAGCATTGTTTCCTAAAAAGTAGAATAATCTTTTGTCACTCCGTGTGTTAATTGCTAGATCTAATTGAAAATGTAATGCAACAATATAGTCAAATAAAGTGAACTCAATAGATAGCAAGAATCTGTTCACCGAGGTAGGGCATGGTTAAGCTTTTCGTAGGCTCTTTAACCATTGTTGTAGCTCATTATAGGTATTCCATGCCCCATTATTTAAATCTAGCTACTAACAATTTTTGTTTTGGCTTATGATGCCACGGGGGATTCTGCTTACTTCCTAACATCCCAGGGTAACATGCTTACCCCCAACTGAGCATCAACATTGAAGCTCCCATCTTTACAAGAGGAAGTTGTAGATGTTATAACGGAACTCCATAAGAAGGTATTTCGAGCAATCTATGATAATAGGCATTCTGGTATGGCATAAATACTACTCTTTAGGTAGAACACTACATAGGAGCGATATCGTAGCCGAGCTAGTTCTAATCTACATAATCCTGCTTGTTCTACCCCAAAACCCGAATCATAGATCATGTAAATGAGCAGGAAACAAGAGACAATCAACAATTCAAGCTTGAAAATGGAAAAAAGCATTCTAAACCTCGAACCAGCCTCAGGCCAGGATTGATATGTTCTCTGTAATTCATTAACAGTGGCTTTACAAAACAAATCTAGCTCTTCAAAGTTTGAGATGATATACTTCACACAAAAGTCTAAAAACAAATGCAGAAGTCGAATAAGGGCCTTTATTTTCTTTTATCATTCACTAAAAACATGGAGGTAGAAATCGAATAAGCATGATCCATCCAGGAATTACATGGGTACTTCAATCTACAGCAGAATCAAACCAGAAAGTCCAACAACAAGTGCCCAGATTACCCCAATTACAAAATTATAGAATCAAAATCAAGAAAATACCCAAATTGTTAACAAGGGATTTGAGAAGTAAACCACTCCATGACATGAATTGGGGCTTTGATCAGCTCCAGCGCCAGCTCCACCAACACCGTCACGCAAAGGCAACACGGGCATATGCAACTCAACAACAACCTATTCATACCACAAATTAATCAAAATTTACCCAAAAATATACTCGGGGAGAGAGAGAGAGAGAGAGGATCCCAGAAAAAAATACCCAACGATCCAAACAACGATTCCGACGAGGGAGATGACAAGGGAAAGAAGGGCAAAGGGAAGGCCTAAAAGGAAGCCTAAAGGCCTGCAATCTCCTTCACAACACATGGCTCAATGGAAACCGAAACTGAATTTTCTCTCTCTAATTCTTGAAACAGAATCTAGAGCGTGTCTTTGCCTGTTTCCGGGACTACTTTTTCTGGGATTTACTTATGAATTTTGCGGGTAGAGGAGGAGTAAAGGTAACGAAGGGACACGCATGTTCACTTATTGGCTGGTATAGCCAATAATGTTAATAATGTAACAATTGTGGATAATTCTGTGGCGCAATCCCTATCAACAAAAGTGAGATTCCAGAAGTGAGGGACTTTAATTGAATTTTAAATTTTGTCATGTCCTTTTCCGTCAATTCATAATGTTGGCATGCCTCCTTTTGTTTAGCTAAAAGAAAATTAATTAAAATTGAAGTTAAAGTCACTAATTACTTTTAATCATGTGTTTCAATCTTATGTTTTTATTAACTTCTATCAAAATTTATTGAAATTTTCACTTTTAACAATACCAAATAGAACTATATTGCGTTCATATTGTTTATTAGGGTATCTCTAATAGATTTTCGTGTCATTATCCTCCATGTCATAATCGCGGAAAATACATTTCTCTTACTCTGACTTATATATATTAGTTAGAATCGTATTTAAATAAATTAATTAAATAAGACAGAAAATAAAAATATTTAAATTCTCACATCGTCCTACTGCCGAAATTCTCCATGAGCCAGTCTCGTTTCTATCCACGTTGTTATCCCCGGCTTGAGTTCTATCCCATTACAAAGCATTTTAGGGCAGGTCTAGGATAGTCAGCTAATAATGTTGTGGCAAAATGACAAAAATATCCTTTGACTCCATCCCAATTGTACTTGATATTTCGTAAAATATAATCTTCGATATTAGTACAATGTAAGCGAATCTTCAAAGTCATTGAGACAAGTGGAAGACGATGAATTTCACAACTTTAGCTTTACTTTATAGATTATCTTGGATGACTTTAGATTAGATATTACTTTCTTCATTTGTTTCTTTGACATTCACAACTTTAGCTTTACTTTATAGGTTATCTTGGATGACTTTAGATTAGATGTTACCTTCTTCATTTGTTTCAAGGTCAAATGACCCTTTTCTCACCTACTTTTTCATTTCTTTTTCTTCTTTAGTTTTCTCCATTTTCCTAAATATTTATGATTATTTTTGTGTGTTTCTATTACACAATACACATCCAGCCCACGGTCAGCCCATTCAAGCAGCCCAGAATACAACTCCAGTCCACATTATAAGCTGCTCCGATGCATCACTCAAGGATGAAAAAGGAAGGCTATTTTTATATATTTTGGGTGTTATTCTTTAGTCATTGTAAATATTTTCCTTCCATAAATTGTGAATAGATTTTAGGGATCTTTAGGAAATATTTACTGTTAGTTTGTTGTGGGATTGTGTATATAAAGGTATGAGCACTGTACATAATTTTTCAATGGAATATACTTGAAAATTCGCAGCATCCATGTGTTAATCATCTCTGCACCCTTATGTCTTTGCTTCTCTGTTTTTGCTTATTTACATGGTATCAGAGCCAGAGAAGGATTAACCATGGATGAACACCAAGATAACTCCGATTCGTCCTCTACCCATTCTGTTTCTCCTTCCCATCACTCAAACCCCAAATCAAACATCTACAGTGCCAACGATATGGCAAAATACCTGAATCTCAATAACCCTATTAATCCTTTTTGACTTGACAATGGTGACAACCCTGTCATAATTCTCGTCATCGACCTGCTCACCACCGATAATTACTCCACCTGGTCACGAGCTATGCGTCGCGCCCTTCGCGCGAAGAACAAGCTGGGTTTCATTACCAGTAACCTCCCACGACCCACAAACCCAGACGATCCTCTTACTGATCTTTGGCATCGCTGCAACGACATGGTGGTGTCATGGATTCAGAACTCAATTAGCCCTTCCATCAAGTCGAGTGTGGCTTTCGTGGATGACGCTCACGAGATATGGAGTGATCTCCAAGATCGGTTCTCTCAACAGAATGGGCCATGAATTTTTCAACTCAAAAAGTCTCTTGCAAGCATTTCCCAGGATAACGACTCTGTAAGTGTTTACTATGGAAAGCTAAAAACCTTTTGGGATGAGCTCTCTGTCTATGACCCTATACCCGTTTGCAATTGTGGAACTATGAAAACTCTTGTGGATCGGTATCAACGAGATTGTGTATTTCAGTTCTTAATGGATTTACACGATAATTACTCAAACGTTCGTGATCAAATAATGCTTTTGGATCCTCTACCCCCTGTCACAAAGGTGTTCTCCCTCATCCAACAACAAGAACGACAGTACTCCCTGGTTCAACCAAGCCCCTCTCCTGACTCCATGGCTATGGCCTTTAAGCGACCATATTCTACTCCTAAATACCCAACCCAACGCAGACCCAACCGAAAGAAAGATCGCCCGTATTGCACTCATTGCAAAATCACCGGCCATACCTTTGAGTCCTGCTTCAAAGTGGGCAATGCTGAAGCCCCTATATGCTCTCACTGTAATCTCACTGGCCATACCGTTGACAAGTGCTACAAATTACATGGCTACCCACCAGGCCATAATTTTTTTACTAAACCTCCCAACCCTACTGCTTTACCACTCAGACCACCAATTCCCCCTCTCCCAACCTTGAGGCACTTAATGATGATAAAGTTGGTTTTACCAAGACTCAGTTTCAGCAACTAATGGCTCTATTTCAGTCTCGGGATGCTTCCATTGTTGCCCAGCCTTCGACTAACAAGATTCAATCCGACTCCAACGTTATTTCTAATGCCAATTTGTCTGGTATCTCTCTTTGTTTATCCACTCACGCGCACACACCACATTCATTATCTCATTATCCTTGGATAATAGATATGGGCACAACAGACCACATCGTCTGCTGCCCTTCCATGTTTACTGCACTCGCAAACACCATCTCTCGTTTTTTGCATTACCCAATAGAACTAATGTTCCAGTCACACAAATGGGTACTATACACCTCACTGATTCACTCTGTCTCACTGAGGTTTTATGTGTCCCCTCCTTTAATTTTAATTTAATTTCTGTCAAGAAGCTTGCCTCTTCACTAACATGTTGTCTGGTTTTCTTCTCTGATGTCTGTTTTATTCAGGACCTTGTCTATTGGAAAACAATTGGGAAGGGTGAAGTGCGAAATGGCCTATACCATCTCTTACATTGTGATGTTTCTCCTTCAAGCCTAGCTGCCAAAGTCTCTCAGCTTTCACATAACAATTTTACTATTTCTGCTTCTGTTTTAAGTAATGTTGCTGTCAATGATCTCTGGCATTGTCGCCTAGGCCATCTCGCCTTTCCTTGTCTCAGTTTAATTACTGGCCCTATTCTAAAGAGTAGCATCAATACTGGTAATAAAAATCCTTGTTGCATTTGTCCTTTAGCAGAACTACACCGCCTTCCTTTTCCCATTAGTAATCATAAATCTACTCGTCTTTTGACTTAATACATTGTGACCTATGGGGACCGTATACTACCACTGCATATGATGGATCTAGATTTTTCTTAACAATAGTGGATGATTTCTCCCGTACCACATGGCTTTATCTTCTCAAACTTAAATCAAAAAGAAAATGCATCCAGTCGTACACCAATCTAGTTGAGACTCAATTTAACCTTAAAATCAAAACCATACGGACTGACAATGGAAGTGAATTCCTAATGACAGAATTTTTTAATTCAAAAGGCATTATTCACCAGAGAAGTTGTGTGGCCACTCCCCAACAAAACGGCATTGTAGAACACAAACATCAACATTTATTAAATGTTGCCAGAGCATTAAGATTTCAGGCTGGACTACCACTCACCTATTGGAATGACTGTGTACTCATAGCCACCTGCCTCATCAATAGGACCCCTAGCCCACTTCTACAAAATAAAACACCCTATCAGCTGCTGTTTAACTTACCCCCTACCTATGCTCACCTAAGAATATTTGGTTCTCTATGCTTTGCTTCCACTCTTGCACATGGTAGAACAAAATTTGACCCTAGAGGTCGCATATGTATCTTTCTCGGATATCCATTTGGTGTTAAAGGTTATAAACTCCTTGACCTTGACACCAAAACCACTTTTATATCTAGAGATGTTGTGTTTCATGAATCAATATTTCCTTTTCTTTCATTGTCTTCTTCCTTAACTTCTCCCAATGAACAACCTAATCCAGTATACACCAAACCATTACCTGACCTATTCTCTTTCCCATACCCCCCTCAGTCCACTCCTTCTTCTTCCTCGCCACCTACTTCCCAACCCACCTTCCAAACCTCTCAACCTTCTCATTCTGATTCCAGTCACACCTCATCCCCTTCCTCTCCCATTATTCCTCCTCCTACTTCCTCTCCTCAACCTCCTCTTTGCAGGTCTACTAGGCAACGGACTGCACTACAATATTTAAGGAATTTTTATTTCCCATAGCATCTCTCACTGCCCCTACCCAATTGCTACCCAAGAGTTCTCAAGGTAATCCCAGCACACATTACTCTCTCACCCAATTCCTCACATACCAGAAATTTAGCCCCTCTTTCACGGCCTTTTCTACTTCCATCTCTTCTATTTCTGAACCCTCCACTTATAAGCAAGCATTGAAACATCCTGGCTGGTGTAAAGCCATGGAAACTGAGCTGAATGCTTTGAAACAAAACCAGACTTGGCTAATAACTGATTTGCCACCAGGTAAACGACCCATTGACTGTAAATATGTCTACAAAGTCAAATTTAATTCTGATGGATCCATTGAAAGGTCGAAAGCAAGACTTGTTGCCAAGGGTTTTACCCAACTTGAAGGAGTTGATTATACAGAAACTTTTTCCCCTGTTGCCAAATTAGTTGCAGTCTAGGTTCTTCTTTCTATAGCAGCAATTCAGGGATGATCCTTACATCAATTTGATGTAAACAATGCTTTTCTTCATGGTGACTTGGAGGAAGAAATTTACATGAAGAAGCCTCCTAGTTACACTAAAGGAGGACCTCTTCATGTATGCAAACTGGTCAAGAGTCTTTATGGCCATAAACAAGCCTCTAGACAATGGTATTCCAAGTTTTCTTCTAGCCTCATTGCTTTTGGTTTCCACCAATCAAAAGCTGATTATAGCCGATTCGCCAAAGCTGATGTTAACTCTTTTACTGCATTGTTAGTCTATGTTGATGACATTATTGTGGCTAGTAATTGCTCGACATCCATTGCATCTCTTAAAGCCTTTTTGCATAATCAATTTAAGATTAAAGATCCTGGTTGTTTGCGTTATTTTTTGGGCTTGGAAGTTGCAAGTTCCTCCAAAGGCATACATTTATCTCAAAGAAAGTATACTTTGGATATACTTTCAGATTCTGGTATGGTAGGTTGAAAACCCCTAAAATTGCATCTTGAACAGAATTTCAAATTACAAAAGCCCTCTGGACAGCCCCTACCTGATCCTAGCTCTTATAGAAGACTCATTGGCTGCCTTTTGTACCTCGCCATCACCCGGCCAGACATCTCTTATGCTGTCCAGCTTTTGAGCCAGTTCATGGATCACCCCACTGACTCCCACCTTTCGGCAGCCCACAAAGTTCTAAGGTATCTAAAAAATGATCATGGCCAAGGCATTTTATTATCATCATCTTCTCAGTTGCAACTTGGAGCTTATTGTGATTCTGATTCGGCTTCCTGTCTTGACACACGACGCTCCACCACAGGTTTTTGTGTATTTCTTGGTCGTTCTCTTGTGTCATGGAAGTCTAAGAAACAATCTGTTGTCTCTCGATCCTCAGCTGAGGTTGAGTATCGTTCTATGACATCCACATGTTCTGAGCTTACATGGATCAGATTCTTGCTTCGTGATTTGCAGGTACCACATTCCTAAGCTGCTTTGCTTTTTTGTGACAATCAAGCAGCTCTCCATATTGTTGCTAACCCTGTTTTTCACGAGAGAACGAAGCATTCTGAGTTAGATTGTCACCTTGTTCGGGACAAGATTCAAGAAGGTAGCATCATTACTTCTCATATTGCATCTCAATCTCAGATGGCTGACATATTTACAAAGGCCTTGCCTACCTATCTCCTCCATTTACACTTGTCCAAGATGGGAATAGTGAATCTCTATTCTCCATCTTGTCGGGGGCTATTACACAATACACATCCAGCCCACGGTCAACCCATTCAAGCAGACCAGAATACAACTCCAGTCCACATTACAAGCTGCTCCGATGCATCACTCAAGGATGAAAAAGTATAGTCTATTTTTATATATTCCGGGTATTATTCTTTAGTTATTGTAAATATTTTCCTTCCATAAATTGTGAATAGATTTTAGGGATCTTTAGGAAATATTTACGGTTAGTTTGTTGTGGGATTGTGTATATAAAGGTATAAGCACTGTACAGAATTTTTCAATGGAATATACCTGAAAATTCCTTGAAAATTCGCAGCATCCATGTGTTAATCATCTCTGCACCCTTGTATTTTTGCTTCTCTGCTTTTTGCTTATTTACAGTTTCTTCTCACCATTCAAATGACGAACGAAAGTTTGAAATGAAGTGCTGGATTTTTGGAGTTAAATTATACCGTTCACATTTTTTCGATGATAGTTCGACCTAATATAGACGTGTTTGATAGTTTTACACTTACATTAAGTAATGATGGTAACTGGTGCATTCAACTCTTTTTGAAGAAAAAATTCCTTAATTTATAGGACAAGAAAAGGGTACTTGTTAGAAATCATTAGTCGACATCCTAAGACTACTATCACACAATGTTCGATTAATAAATGAACTCGATGGTTATGTCGTGTCTGTTTCCTTACTGATAAAGGGCATACCATGTCACAATTGGTGATGGTAACACATCGTACTATGCAGAGGAAGACAAGATAGCTCTATTCATGTCATCCAATCGTGTCCCAACCACTAAACTGCCTTTAAGAATCAAGATTCACCATTACTTAGGCCCTTGAGTCTTCCAAGGACCAGTTTTTATCTCGACTATGCTATTAGAAACTTTGCACAAAGTCGGAATAAGAGAGCACTCACTTTTGATGAGATGAACAAAACGAACAGCATTGTTTAGTGCCCTACAAAGCTTATGTCCAAAAACAACAGTCTACAATTCATGTAAAAGAAGCTTCAAATTATGCACAGGAAATGAAGTTTCTAATTTTCTATATATTTCATGCACAAGAAAAACAAGCACAATGCGCTATTACACGATTCATGACATAAGCCGACAATAAAATGACCAAACCCATTATTCAAACTGACTAAACAATGTCAGCGATGTACAAAAGCTACAAAACAAACATGACTAGCATTAGCATCTACTGTTATCATCCAAATCTGCTATCAACATTTACGAGAATAATTACAATTCCCTAAACTAGGGAAACCAGACAAGTTAACAGCAATCACGAAGAAACAACGCCTACTCTACGAGACTGCATGTTAATAATCCACCAGAGAATAACATTTCTGAAACCATATAGAGACCGAGAAACTTCACCATCATCGTCGAAAATAATGAGATCTGCATATCCAAAGAGAAAAAATGTTAATAATGACTCGCAGCATTCACACGTACAAACAAGGAAAGAATGAGGACGAAAATAGTAGAGCAAATATCATAGATTTGCCTAGGGAGTACATCGTAGTAAATTGAAAAAGTATTGAAAATGTGCCAGGACAACCATAAAAGCTATTTGAAAATCCATAAGAGGTATAATAATAAATTCTCAAGAATCAAATCTATTGGTAATAAAGAGATTACACAAGTATATATCTACCGACCCAAAACATTTCTCAAAATGGAGTGTTACTAATTTTAAGACTCTTCTATAATTTCAAGTTTGTAACACCTTGTTCCTAGGAGATGGTTTTTGCCCAGTTGACCAGTAAAAAGTTGGATCTTAGTTGAAAAGACGATTATATCCTTATTTAAAGACCTCCTTTTGATCAAACTGGTCCTTGTTTGTCATAGCACCAAACATTTTACTTTGGGCTTCCCAATTTGGTCACATAATAATTCAACTAACTAAGAGCTACGACATCAGAAAGTGTATTGACACAAAACATTGTGATCTCCAATCACTTAAATAGTTTATTCAACCTTCAAGAAAACTTCTAAATGAACCTAGAAAATGACATTTGTAAACTATATTTGTGAGTAATAAATAGTTTATTCAACCTTCAAGGAAATTTCTAAATGAACCTAGAAAATGAAATCTGTAAACTATATTTGTAAGTAACAAGGGGGTTCCCCGAACAGACATCAGTTCTTTAGGAAAATATAGGAACTTCACAAGTAAACCGGGAAAAAAAAATGGAAACTTGTTTTGTTGAAAATATAAGATCTCCAGAATAACCATGAAAGAAGAAAATAATCGATAGTGTCATCCAAGTCCAATCTTCAGCAACATGTAACATGTCTTTTTCTTTACCCTCTCTATTACTCCTTTCCTAAGAGAACCATCTATAAGACATTGAAACAAAATCAACACGAAATGAAATTAACAATTACATTTAAAAAGTTATGAACGTCCCAAATATTTCACAATTTGATGGAGATAGTGGGTCCATTTAATGTAGATTTGGTGTTTTTTTGTGTATCAACAACCTGAAAGCCCAGAAGTGTACTGAGGAGAGATTGCCAAAGAACTTAAATAAGCTCACAAGCTAAACTAGCTTAATCTAAGTAAATGACATGCAAGGGGTAGTCGATGTATGAGTGTGTGTGCACGCACACGTGTTAGCATCGTGTATCGCCAGTAAAGTCCCTTTTAGAGAGGGAATGTGCTACTTAGAAAACCCAATCCATGGTCTCTCATAAAATACAAATATGATCCCCTATTAAACCATAAAGTCCACCTTGTGCACTAGATCCCAGGAAAGGAACAAAAGAATTGTCCACAAAGTTTTGACATTTCCCACAAAACAAAGGATGGATTAGAAAGGAGATTGCTACTGCCAATATTTGAAAACATTGAACTGTTTTAGATGTCATCTGGTTTTACCTTTCCCTCGCAAACACCAGTCACAAACCAGTTTTCAATTCCTAAGAATGTAAAAAAGGTAAGAGGGTCCAAGGAATTGAAATGCCTTACCAGATACCTTTGTATTTTGAAACTTCTTAAATATATATACACAAAGTAGACAAACAAATCATCAGAAGCACAAATTAGATCATATTGTTAACCATTCATTTTAGTGTCTCAACTCAATGAATCCTTAAAAACTAACCTAAGCATCATAAAGTGATTTTAATGCTTGTGTGTATGCCAAATACGTTATAGATTGTAATTCAGTGCACAAAAAACTTATAGCTCGGGAACTGAAATGACAAAATGAAAAATGATTTCATCCCAAAAATCTATAAAAATCTGACTACAAGTTTCCATTATATACAATTTGGACAAGTTAAATATACCTTCAAATTTTGCCGTACTATAAAAGCTTGATTGATTAGCATATAGCTTTGGTGATGTTTAAAAACAAACATAAAGAAGTATGTTACAGAACTACCAAGCATGGGCACTCCTCTAGAGTGGTTTGGAGTCACACGTACTAAATACAGACGCATGTTGGAGATGCTCATACTTGTTTGATATGATAAATGTAATTTCAGACTTTGATAGTATTCAAGAATTCCAACAAGCGATAACGCACCACAGACTGCCTTCAACGTGTATGCAATATGTCATGCGTCATGTCCTACATCCTAAAAAGCACCGATAAGTTTACGTACACATATCCGATACATCGATACTCTCCGATACTCTTAGATACCTACCGGATACTTTTTTTTAATTATTTTATAAATTTTTATATTTTTTACGTATCCCATACGTATTTTATATTTTTCGTATGACTTTTGACACGTATCCAATACTTCATGATTAACATTCACCTTCACTACAAAATACAATTTTGAAACTTCTTGTGCAACCTTTTTCTTCATCTAGTGCCATACTCTTTTGTACACTCTACGAGAAGGAATAAAATAACTTTACAACAAGTTGAAGAATTGGTTTTCATTTATAGCAATTTGCATCTTTTATTAAAAAAAAAAAAAAAAAAAAAAATTAGATCTCTATTCAAAAGAAAAATCCAAAATGTGGGACATTGTTGGAAACTCTTTTGAGACTCTTGAAGTTGTTAAACTGCTTGAGTTTGCTAATCTATCATTAGATGAGTCAGAGTTGAAAATTGTTATTTTTAATAATAATAAAGAGATTGTTGTTGATGTTGAAGGAAATGAAGTTTCTACAATTAATGATTAAGATAAAGTGTTTTGGTATTTTATTTATTTTCATTATAATGCTTATGTACTAATTTTTTTAATATTAATAAATTTATGTTGAATTTTATAACACGTATCGACGTATCCTAAGTTTTTCAAAAAAGTTGTATCGGCATATCCGTATCATATCGTACCGGAATTACGTATCCATATCCGTGCTTCTTAGCCTACATCTTCTAGTTATTTAATTTACAAAAAGAGAGAAACATGGCCCAAGATGTTAAGGACACAGCAAATCTCATTTTGTAATTTTGGAATATAGGACATGGGTATTAATATCATTGAAAAATTTTAAAAGTCAAAAATAAATAAAAATAAAACATTTAATTTATACTTTTATAGTATTTTAATCGAGGTGCCCCTGTTCTACTTATGTGAGAAGTAACCTGTCATTGTGGTAAAGACCAGTCATATATATGCTTCATAACTGCAGACTAGAGTTGTGAACACTTAATTATTCACTGAGATGCCAGAGTAATCCACCAGAAATCTTATTTTGTAAAAGAAGTTAGGAAGTGCAGGTATTCCACGTAGAGATATGAATATCATATCTACTTTACATAAAATCAAATTTTGAAAGAGAAAAAGATATGAGTAATTTTAACAGGTGTAAGAAATGTGCATAATGCCCAGGAACAAAATATTTAGAAATTGAACAAAAGATTCCTGCTGTTTTAGGCAATATCCAGCCAACGCTCCATAATTTGCCAATACAAACACGGTAACAAAGACACTAAATTATTGTTGTATGTATAGATTTCATGTTTTAAAGATTATGTTAGTATCGAGTTCCTGGTTACAAGCTACAAATAATCTTCTCTAGATCACGTTGAGTGGTTAATTATATAGATGCCAAAATTTTGACTTTACTAGAATAATGAACCATACTGAATTATTAGGAAAAGGGTGATCCTCCAGCAAAAGGTAAACAGTCAGGGCTGCTGAAAG